GTAAACTGTTTTACCAGACTAGGTAGGATTGCATAGGCATGTAGTGTGCACCATTTTCTCCAGTTTACTTCAAGTGTGCAGCTCTACATCAAACTTGGGAGCCAAAAATGAACAGATGTAACAGTTATTTAAAACAGAAAATAAAGTTAAAAAATAAATTAATCTTCAACAACCTCATCAACAAAGTCATCAATTTGTCAAGAAGAATAAATTAAAAGGTTTCCCTCTGCAGAATTGTTCAGTGAAACAGAGGAGTTAGAAAGTGGAACAGATTCAGTTTATTAATACATAAATGCCCCACCTGCATAGCAGACAGGTGTACCTTTGTACAGAATTTGCTAGATGAGTTTATTGTCACCAATCAAACTTTAAAATGTGTTACGTCAATTTGTTGACCTCGGTTCACGGAAACTGCGTTTACTTTAAATACAGAAGAATAAATAGCATCTACACATGTTGCCTAGGCTCCTAGAAACGGATTAACCAAGCTTTAAAATGTGTTAAGACCATTCTTTGACCTGCTCTCACAAATTTTGTCTTTGAATCCATTGACTTCCATTCATTTTCCACTCACTTCCATGGCCTTACCCAGACTCGTAATTTAACCCTAACCATTAACAACACATGACTATCCCTAAACTCAATTCACACTTTTTTTTTTCCTCTGGGCAATGTTGTGCCCTGTTTTAAGCTGTTTTGGTAAGCTAGTTATTTTAATTAATCATAAAGTCCTATTAATTTTAAAGAATTGACGTTGGAGCACAGTTTAAGCATGTCCTGACCTGTATGAGGGTTCCAGTGGATGTTGTCATTGTTGGTGTGAAAGGATTTGTTGTGGAGCCTAAGTATGCTTTGGCAGTTATTTCTCCTCATGCATCCTCTTTAAAAATAGCTGTTTGCATCGCTCATACAAGCTTACTGTCCAAAAGAAGATATGCACTTTTTCCACTATGTCAGACTCACCACCGGTAAGTGAAAATGGGAACGAGCACGTAGGACGGCCTCATGTAAAAATATCAGCAGAATGATTAACAATTAGGGGGACCACTTATTATGACAATCCTCCTGGAAAAAGAAAATCATAAACTATATTTTTAAGTCTTTCAGAGAAGTTGATCAGTTGGATGTTTACATCTGCATAAGGAAAGGTGTTGGTGGCTAGGTTGAGGAGTCTAGTGGATGGTGGTAGTCTGTAGTCTTTATTATTGATGCCAAATGAGAGGATGAGTTTAGAAACTGAAACAACCATTGACTTTGCATGTAAACTAGCTGCTTTTGCTGCCTCTGCTGCTTTATGTGTGAACGTAGCATTATGTTGTTGTTAGCTTGTGTCACGAGCACTCGGTCCTGGCTTGTTTTGTTCTCGATCACCTCGTCAGACAGCATGTGCGTTCATGTGTTTTGAAGGCGTCATTTCGAGGGGTGGTCTGAAGGGAGAGGCATGGTTGTGTATGTTCAAAAATATAGCTTGCTCGAACCATTTTCCAAGATCTCCTACGGCACCCTTAACAGAAAGAACCTGTTTCCCTATCTACATGTTTGTTCCTAAACCGCTGTATGGTGAAATGAAGGACTACCTAACTGATTTGATTGTCAATGGATGGATTGAGAAATCTCACTCATCCTGCGCTTCACCTGTGTTTGTGATAGAAAAAAGTGTGGTTCGATGCGCTTGTGCATCGACTACAGAAAACTAAATGGGAAAACTCACCCTAATTGACAGCTAATCCAGAGATTCCAACATATTATAAATGGACTAGGTGGAAACACCATGTTCTCACTGCTTGATCAGGAAAAGGCATATCCTCAGTAGTTTGAACCTGAACGTGGAGAAGACGAAGGAGATCAT